GACGAAAGGGTAAATAATGAGGAAAGTGTTTTTAATAATTCTGATATTAATTCTTCGTCCGTTATAAATAATGGTATGTACATTTATAAAATTTATCTATTACCTATCTATTACCTATCTATTACCTTCGATTCTAAAAAATATCTTTTTATCTCAAACATTCTTTCTTACTGATTTGATCTGTTAGAAAAGCAATTACTCCGTGTAATAACTGTAGAATCTGATGATCGTTCCTTAGCGTTATCACTTGACATGGAGTATACTTCACAATCTTTGGCTGTTAATGCGAACGTTAAAAGCGTCACAATCATTCCAATACCGATACAAAAGCATGTACGTATAAATGTTTTGCATAATGGTCAGAGACGGGTAAAGCCTTATAAGACTGCAGAGTCTGATAGCGTACTTATGACATCACACACTTATGTTGTATCATTGAGAGATGGGCTAAATTTAATTGACGTTTGGGTCAAACCTAAAGATAATGATTTTCGAAAGGAGAGAAAAACAAGGAGAAAAAGTAAAAGATTAGCGGTTGAAGAGGATATAAATGATGGTGAATCAAGGGCTATTGATAAAGGAAAAATGAAAGAGTATGTTGAAAGAGAAGACAATGCAGAAGGCACCGATCTAGATAATTCGGAAATGGTGCAATCTGACGAAGAGGAAGATTATAATTTGGAATGTAGTCGAAAATATGAACTCTTCATTACAAGATTAGAAATGAATGTCGCAAAATGATAGTTATTTTCGACGAATCAAAAAATTTTTTGATATCATAACATTTCTATCAAATAAAACTTTTATTTGGTTACTTTGGACTTCACACACACTTAAAAAATTAACAATTCATACATGTATAATAATTAGAATTGTTCGATCCTCTAAATATTACAACTATTATATAATTTTTATTCATTTGAAATACCGAAGCATAATCAAGCATCGGGGAGAATCTCTACTTCGGTTTTATTTTGTTCAACAAGAGGTTGCGGTTTATTAAACAGAACATTTTTAAGGACTTGAGAAATCAAACCATGTGCTGCTTCAACAGTAATTTTTGTGCTAAATTGAACAATATATATTTATGTATATTATATTAATCATCGTATCAATTAAAAAAAAATATATATAATAGACTAAATTTATTATACATGCCTATCCTTTGTAACCTTACTGAGTGGGCTTTCTTCCACTCTTTTCTTTTCAGGTGGAGGTGCTGTTGCTGTTGCACCGCCTGCGGATGAACCTCCAACGGATTGTGATGAGGTAACACTACTACGACTTCCTCCCATACCACCAGGAAAACTGGATACTCTGCCACTCTGCTGCAATTGTGTTTCGGCTTGATCCAGTTTTTCCGCAAGATCTGCAATTTGTTCAGCC